TTTTCTCCAGTGTAGATGTCCGAGCCTCACCGCACTGCATAGCATACACTATTTTGTTTGTATGCTATGCAGCTATTTTGTTTAGCTTGTGTTTGGGAGTTTTCTCCTTGGGATTAACCAATTTTTGTCTGAGGGTGTTGCTGGGTCTGAAGTCTGGGATGTCATGCGTGAATAAAATTCTCGAGTTTCTCTGATAAACCTGATAAACAAAGAATGACAGTGTTGTTCCGTTTGTCATTCTGTTTGCCCAAAGTTGGTGTCAGACCTTCTCTCCTGTGCATCTTTGCTGATTTGATGAAGGCCCAGTTGGGTTTAAGAGTTTTCTTTAGATGTGTGTGTTCCTTTTCTTTCCCTTCTTGCTTAGAGGGAGCGTTTTCTACCCAGTGTTGCAGGGTCCTTATTACTGCAAATTTGTGTTCCACAAGGTAGTGGGAGTCAAAGAGTAGGTACTGGTCTGTGTCTGTGGGCTTCAGGTAAACTTCAGTGTTAAGGTTTCCATTCTCCTCAATGTGCACTGCAAAAATGGCAAACTATTATTCTGTAACTAGTCTACTCTGTACCACCATTTGGTTTTAGAGCTAAAGAAGATTCTTGGTTGAGAGATGAAACGTCCTCAAGAAACTTGAAAAGAAAAGAAATTTCATGATGAGGTTCTTTCCAAGCTCCTTAGGCTACATAAAATGGTGAATCTCTTGGTATTATCACAGAAGTGATGAACAGATTTCAGTCCAATATCTCTGATGATATCTCTGATCTGATCACAGATGTAGAATGTTCTGGAAAGGAAATTAACCATCTGTTTTTGTCTTTCCTGCAGATTCCAACCTGATATTGCAGTTAGCATTATAACTCTCTCACTCGTATTCCTAATGACCCAAACTGACTCTCCAGAGGCTTTCAGCCACTTTGTGGACAAGAAAGGTGTGCTAATTACAGCTTTCATTCCTTTCGTTCCTTGTGAATTCTAATAGGAAACCAAATGGTCTACCCAGACCAGACTGCTTGGTAGCTTTAATATAGTCTCAGTACAGTGTCTTTACAAGAGTTTCGAAGGGACAAGCTCTCACAGCTGCATAAATCGCTGCACACTCAGAAACGGCAACTAAAACTGGGTTAGAAATGGATTTTCATTAAACACTCTGGGGCCTAATTTCAGAGGTATTTCATTGCTGCCTAACAATGCCATCACAAATCAGATATTTTCATTATTTCCAATTTACAGGCGAAGCTTTAGACACCTATTTCATTTGATTGTCTTTTCTGCAACATTAGGTGTGTGAAGCTGATCTAGGCTAACAGACTGTAGATTCTGATATGACACAAGGTGACAGGAGCTTCCGATCAAGGAGACAAATTGTCAACACTACAGCTCCTCATTCTTCAGCTCAGTGAGGAAAAGCTTTAACGTGCAGATGTCCTCTCTGCTCTGGAAAACATCAAACTGTCTGCTTGCCTTTACTTTCAGCAGTTACATAAAATATATTTATAGTGCAAAGACAAAGACATTAGAAGATTTATCTTCTGCAGAGTAGGAATGGGAACAGAACATTTTATGATATTGTTGGTGGGAAAAAGAAAAAGAAATCTTCTGGAGAGTCTGAATGAGCAAATGCAATGGAAGCCTAACAATAGTTTCTGGGAGGGGTCAGCAAGAAAAAAAGACAGTGGTATTGTCATTGGTATTTCTAGTACACTAAACTAGATGGAGATGAATAGTTTTCTATATTTAAATTGATATATTTTCCATATATATTTAAATACACTCAAGTTGGAGAACACAGGATGTTACATTAATTTTGCTTCAAAAGACAGTTGGAGGTCTAACAGGAAACTGAATCTCCTGTTAGACCTCCAACTTAAAAACACAGACATTGCACACAGTCCTGTGGTTTAAGTTTACCTAGTCCTGCATTTATATACATTAATATAAACCAAACACACATAAGAATGGGACAGGATATTTGATCGTTAAACTATTATTCACGTGTAGGTTGACTGACAGAGCTATGAATCATAATATCTTCTCTCTCTGGATGTTTCATTTTGACAGTGTCGTGAGAAGTTTTTGCTTATATTAACAATGACGGTAACAAAGGCTGCATGTTGTGAAAGGCCTCTCTGGTAGCAGCTGACTAGAGCTTAAAGAGCATGCTTTAGCTCCTTACTTTTCGGGTGTACAGTATAACTACAGATATTGCAGGATTTACCAGGTTGTATACTGTAACATTAGGTTGGTTAAACATGGCAAAGCCTAGACTAAGAATTTACAGATTGTTGAAACTGCCTTAATATCAATGGGGAGATGTTTGACAATCCAGTCAGAGTCATAAAGAACTAAAATAAGTTGTTTTGACAGGAAGAAATGATTTATTTACAAAGAGAGTGCAGGAGATAATCTGGAGACTATAGAAAGAGACCTGGTCTCAGCATCATGGAGTCTGTCTGGTGTAACATAATTGAACAAAAAGACACTGAGAGAGTCAAATCCACAGAAAAACTGGTAAGTTCAGCAATTTTCCTGCCAAGTACCTTAATAAACTCAAAAAACAACTGGAAGGCAGAAATGTTTTGCATATTTGGCACAGAGAAATAAGTTGAAAGGAAATGACAAGGACTCACATCCAATCATCATCATGGCTACAGCAAAGATCTTCTCCCCATCTGTGTTTGGTGCTATGTTTCCAAAGCCAATACTGGTCAGACTGGTCATGGTAAAGTACAACGAAGTGATGTAGGCTGAGTCTTTACTGGGCCCGCCCTCCCAGATGCCTGAGCTCGAGGCATTGAATCTGTATGGCGTCCCAACTGTATCTCCTAACAGGTACAACCAGCTGTCCATCCTCACAGTGTTGGTGTTCTCATCAATCACCTCATAGTATCCGATGCTGTACCAGATACAGGCCAGCCAGTGGGCTGCCAGGCCAAACACACAAACCAGCAAAACCAGCACAGCCGCGCCATACTCAATGTAATGATCCAGCTTTCTGGCAACTCGACCCAAACGCAGCAGACGTACCACTTTGAGAGAGCTAAAAAGGCTGCTGATTCCCTGCAAGTGAAAGAAGAGATAAAACAGATAAGAGAAAATAAGACACCGTAGGAGGGAGGGGGACAAATAAAGAGAAAAAAGGTGAAAGAAGAGTACAGAAACAATTAATATTATGAAAGATTTTTCTTGTTTCAAACATTCAGCTCATCATGGGAATCTAAGGGGCCTTTTCCATCAAACATGCTGGCATCAGTTCACACAAACTGTGTGCTTATAATAACTTTGCTATTATTGTTATTTTTGCCATGTAACCTGTAATGATGCAGGATCACATCATCATCTAATCAGTATGTGACATGTCAGTCACGTATCTTGTTATGTGAAGATCTTGTTGAATGAGTGTAAACTTGAACCAGATTTCAAACAGAAGGCAACAGATTTTATCAATAAAAACAAACTGTGAAATATTGATGTCTTTGTCTTTGTTTTTGCTGTCCATTGCATCTTTTAGCCTGCATCAATCTCTATTGTAATTTCTCATGTAATAAAACCCTTTTAACTGTTATTCCACTCAGTGTTACGTATTTATATTAGGGCCTCTCTTTGTGTTGAAACTGAGTGGAGACTTTCATTGATGCTTTTTTTTTGGAAATGGTTGACCTAAAAATTCACTTCATTACAAGCTGTTTTCTTGCTTTTCCTTCATTTGGTTTCTTTGATTTGTTTTCAAATTATTATATAAACTGCTGTCATCCACAGGTGTTTTATTTAATCTAATTTCATGAATCAAATGTATATTATAACAATCCATCCATCCATCCATCCATTCGCTTCCGCTTCTCCTTTTCAGGGTCGCGGGGGGCGCTGGAGCCTATCCCAGCTGTCATAGGGCGAGAGGCGGGGTAAACCCTGGACAGGTCGCCAGTCTGTCGCAGGGCCAACACACAGGGACAGACAACCATTTGCGCTCACATTCACTCGCACATTCACACCTAATGGCAATTTGGATTTTCCAATTAACCTATCCCCACAAGCTATTATAACAATCCAGACATTGCAATTTGTCATATAATTCTTTGCTGACTTGAGGAGTGGATCAGATCAGTTTATGCATCATTTTCTGTGAATACTATAAGCCACTGCTTAATGAAATTCAAACATAGGAAAGGATATAAAGAAAATCACAGTCTGTTATCTGGAGTGTCAGCAGTTTCATTTTTAATATAAACATATTTTGAATTTGATACCAATAACATATTTCAGACAGACATGCTCCCACTGTTGTTGTATGATATAAACATTTGTGTGCAGAAAGAACTTGCTTAACTTATATAATTGCTATGTATAAAGTTTTGAGGCTTCTTCCTTGGCATGACATTAGTTTGGGCAGTTTGAGGTGTTTTATTTTAGTATAAGTTTATTTTATATTTCTTGTACAGTCCAAATTACAGTTTAAAAAGTTTTTAGGCCACCAACATTAGACGAGTTTATCCTCTTGCCATCACAAATAGCTTTGCAAAATTTATTGCAAGCTTGTGTTAGTCCTGCATCAGGTTGGTGACCTGTTCAGGGTGTACCTCGCTATGGTAGCTGAGATAGGCTACAGCCACCTTGCGACCCTAATAAGGATAAGTGGAAGAGAACGGATCAATAGATCTCTTTATTCACCAACTTTCCCCCCCTCATTTCTAGGAATACCAACAAATCATTTGTTTGTTTTTCCCCCCATGTCCTTGACATAATTCATTAAAATGATAGTTAAATGATAAGTTCTGTTTTAATAAGAAGCTGAACTGCCATGTTTGCTTTGTTTTTTGTTATTTTTATTTTGTAAGACTGTTAATCCAACATTCTAATCTAATTCTAATCTATAATTTCAGTACATGACACCAAACCAATGGTGATGATATGGTCTGACACAGAACATGATGGCAACAGTATTGAATCCCATTGTTGAATCCCATTTATTTTAGTTTAGTTGAATTTGTTTTTCTTTCATGCCTCTACAATCTTGCGTGGAGATCAGGGGTGGTACCTCTGGATTGGCAAACCAGGGGTGTGGTTCCCATCTTCAAATAAGGGAGACCAGAAGGTGTGCTCCAACTATAGGGGGATCACACTCCTCAGCCTCCCTGGGAAAGTCTATGCCAAGGTGCTGTAGTCCGTCCGTTAGTCCAACCACGGATACAGGAGGAACAATGTGGTTCTTGTCCCAGTCATGGAACACTAGACCAGCTCTTTACCTTCTTGAGGTTACTTGAGGACGCCTGGGAGTTTGCCCAACAAGTCTACATGTATTTTAAGGACTTGGAGAAGGCATTTGACTGTACCCCTCAGACTGTCCTGTGGGATATGCTTCGGGAGTATGGGGTGTCTGGCCCATTGCTATGGGCCATTCGATCCTCATACAACTGCTAAAAGAGCTTGGTCTGCGTAGCCAGCCATAAGTTGGACTCATTGGGTGTTGGACTCCACCAGGGCTGCCCTTTTCTGTTCAGAATTTTTATGGACAGAATTTCTAAGCGCAGCCAAGTGGGCGAAGGCTTCTACTTGGGTGGTCTAAGAATCTGATCTCTGCATTTTGCAGATGATGTGGTTCTATTGGCTTCATCAAGTGACAGCCAGCAGCTCCGAGTGTGAAGCAGCGGCAATGAGAATCAGCACCTCCAAATCTGAGGCCATGGCCCTCAGTCAGAAAAGGGTGGTGTGATGACTTAAGTGCAGGGATGAGTTCCTGCCCCAAGTTGAGGAGTTTAAGTATCTCAGGGTCTTGTTCATGAGTGATGGGAGAAGTAAGCAGGAGATTGACAGACAGATTGGTGCTGCGGCAGCAGTGATGCCCGGTTCGTCGTGGGGAATTGAGAGCTGAGTATAAAAGCGAGGCTCTCAGTTTACCGGTCGATCTATGTCCCTACCCTCACCTATCGTCACGAGCTTTGGGTAGTGACCAAAAGAATGAGATCGCGGATACAAGTGGTGGAAATGAGCTTTCTCTCAAGGTTTACCTGGCCTCTCCCTAAGAGATCAGCCATTCGGGTGGGGCTCAGAGTAGGAAAGGAGCCAGTGAGGAAGTTCAGGCATCTGACAAGACTGCCTCTTGGGCGCCTCCTGGGTGAGTTGTTCTGGGCATGGAATGAGGCTACGGGGCAGACCCAGGAAACACTGGAGAGATTATTTTTCTTGGCTGGCCTAGGAAATCCTTTGACAAGCTAGAGGAGGTGCCCAGGAGAGGGAGTCCAGGGCATCTCTGCTTAGGCTGGCCCTGCAACCTGGCCCTGGATTATCTGAAGAAAATGGATGGATGGATGGATGGATGGATGGATGGATGGATGGATTTTCTTTCTTTTTCTTCAGTCTGTGATACTTCATTCTGTAATAGGCTGGCCAAAACAAAAATGATAAGTCAGTGTTTAATTTCACCAATTTACCATTACAGTGTAAAATGTTGATTCTATTCTTTTTATTGTCAGAATTGTTTAGATTAAAATGAAATCAGTTATACTACCCAATAAGGTAAAAGACTAAATGAAAAAACAAGTCAACTTGTTGTTATGTTGATGTACTGAACACTGCAGCTCCTAATAAAAAAAATATTAACTGCACAAATTGTGCTAATTCATAAGCAACAGCACTGTTAAAGTATTTTACAATCAGTAAGATTACAAAATAGAAATAATTGAGGAGCTCATGTGACACTGTAAAAATCCAGCCAGGTCTGCTAAAGGTCAAGATGAATGGAGGGGTAAAGATGTTGGTGACATAGCCACAAAAAGATAAAGACAGTCAGTCCAGATGACATGCCTATGGAGGTATGGAGATGTGTAGAAGAGCAGGCAGTGGACCTTTTGACCAGGCTGCTTAACATAATCTTAGAGAGTGTGGAATGGGGAAGAGTACTCAGGGGTGCCACCAGGGATTTGGGGCCCCATGAAAAAAAAAATTAATGTTGCAAATCACGGTGGCCCTAAAAATATAACACTGTGCAAAGATTGGGTTTTAATCTGATTTCGCTTAATGAAAGCTCTCTTCACCTGCATTAGTCATCGACAGTGTGTAAAATATATCCAGAGCAATACACACTTCTCCAAAAACACTCTGGTTATGTGGGTTGTAGTGATAATATACTATTATCCCAAATTAAATTGTGTGTAGAAAAAATATGAACATAAATATAACAAAGAGTCTGCCTGCACCGATTACATGTCGGCTAAAAAAAACAAAACATTATTTTCCATTAGAAATGAAGTAAGGTAACTAATACTAGGGAAGTCGAGCAGGTTCTTTCATATTGACTTGCTATGAGTGTAATTTCCACGTGTCTCTCTTTTCTTTTTTGAAACCCAGACTTCCCTTTTCACTAAGCTATTCTATTTTCTTACCACTCAAGCATTGGGCAACACCTAGGAGCACTGGCAACTGTATCAAACCAGATCTTGACATAAGGAAGGACATCCAGAAGAGTAAGGTTTTATTCTTTGTTGCCAAAAACAAAACAAAACAAATGGTAGGAAACATAAAGGAAACATAAAACCTTCCTTGACCATGTATGGAGGGTTTCACCCCAAATCCAGCATGCTGAGACTGTACACCCAGCAGAACAAGGAAGACTGAGGACTGGTGAATGTCAGAACCACTTTCCAGGATGACACAACAAACATCCATCAGGAAGATGGCCACAACAGACTGTGTGCTTAGTGAATACATCAGGCAACAGAAACCTGAGAAAGAAGAGGAGCAAAGAGAAAAATCATCAGGCCCCTGCTTAGTACCCCTGGCAGATAGAGGAAGTGGCACAAGATCATACCATGACAGGCAAGACCCCAGATGGAGGCAGTGTAAAGTGCCCCTGAGACAGCCAAGCACATAACAGCAGAGTTCAAGATGCTAGCAAGCAGGGCATAAATGCCATAACCAAGCGGCTGGCATAGTATGCAGGAACATCTGTGCCAAGTATGACCTGTGAGTCCTGGGGTCAAAACGGGACAGGAAGAAGGAACATGAGGAGCTAGAGAACTAAAGGTGCTGAGAGAAGAACTTGAGTAGATGTGAAAGGTGAAGGC